GATGTTCAGTAGGGAGATGCCGCGGTGGTTGTCGCAGACTTGGCGATTCCCTTTGCGCTTGTATAGGTGCACGATAGTTGCGTCCTTGAAATCTTGCGGGACTTCACCTTGACGCCACATCTCCTGGAAGAGCGCAGTCAGGTGATCCATCAGTAGGGAACCTCCGTGTTTGTAGACCTCAGCAGGGATTGCGTCCGATCCGAGTGCTTTCCCGCTGGAGAGCTGCTGCACGGCCCTGATGGTTTCCTGGAGAGATGGCGGGAGGTCTAGGTCCGCGTTGGTCGCCACTTGCGGCAAGCGGGCGATGGCGGCGTCGGAGATGACGGAAGGGCGGTTGAGGACGCCTCGGAAGTGCTCGGCTCATCGCTGCAGGATTTGCGTCTTCTCAGTCAGGAGAGTGCTGCCGTCGGCGCTGAGGAGAGGAGCAGTGCCCTTCGTCGGCGGACCGTAGACAGCTTTGATCGCGGAGAAGAAGTTCTTCCATTCGTTGCGGTCCGCGTAGCCTTGGATCTCCTCAGCTTTGCGAGCAGTCCAGGCGTCCTGCATCTCGCGCAGTCGTTGCTGAAGCTGTCGGCGACTGCGGTAGAAGGCAGCTTTGTTGCCCTCTGTTGGGTGCTCTACGTAGGCTTTGTGTAGGCGGTTCTTCTCGGCAAGTAGATTTCTGATGGCAGCGTCGTTGTCGTCGAACCAGTCCTGGTGTTGGCGGGGAGCGCGACCGAGGACGGCGAGCGCCGTCGACTGGACCGTGTCACGCAGTTGACACCAGCGGTTCTCCACGGAGGCGTTCTCGGCAGCGGCGGCGGCGTCGTCGGCGGCGGCAGCGATAGGAAGGTTGTCTAGCCGTTGAGCTAGCTCATTGCTGAAATGGAGACAGTGAGCAGACAAAGACAACAAAGCAACATTCAGCTTACCTGGGGGTCGCTTACCTTGTGGTCTCCTGCGAGGCTGTAGGCGAATACGCATCTTCGAGATGACGAGGCGATGGTCGGTCCACCCGTCAGCACCCGCGATCGCCTTCGTCACCAGCACGTCCCGCTGATCTCGCCTCCGGACGAGGACATAGTCCAGCAGGTGCCACTGATGCGACCGAAGATGCCTCCAGGTGGCCTTCTCTCGCACCGGCAGACAGAAGAAGGTATTCGTCAGGGTGAGGCGGTGTTCTGCGCAGGTGCGGAGGAGAAGCAGGCCGCTGTCGTTGGAGCCGCGGAGACCGTGGGGACCCAGCACTCCTCTCCAGGCAGTATGGTCTGTGCCGACGCGGGCGTTGAAGTCGCCAAGGACAATCAACTTGTCCGCCTTCGACACAGTCGCCAAGAGGGCGTGCAGGTCCTCGTAGAATTTGTCTCTGACGGCGTCGGGGTTGGTCATCGTCGGAGCGTAGGCGCTGTTGATGGTGGCGAATTTGCCTCCCCAGAGAGGCAGGCGGAGGCTCATCAGGCGATCGTTGATACCTGCGGCAAACAGGGCAGTCGTCCCACGATGTCGGTCCAGATGGCGAAGGCGACGCCCGCGTCTCGTCGCGCTGCCCTGCGTCGACCACTCCAGAAGAAGGTGTAACCGGCACCCACCTCCTCCAGTTGGCCTTGTTCGGAGAATCGGGTCTCGCTGAGTGCGGCGATGTCCACCTTGTAGCGCGCCAGTTCTCGTGCCACTAGCGCCGTCCTCCGTTCCGGTCGGTTGCTCCTCGGATTGTCTAAAAGGGAACGAACATTCCAGGCTGCCAGAGTGAGCGGGCTCACCCTGCCAGTCTGGGGAAAACGAGTGGGGCGATGGGAAGGAGGTGGAGAAGAAGATGACGAAGGAGAAGAATAGGCAGAAGAATAGACGGAGGTAGAGGTAGAAGAGGTAGGATGAGGAGAATGAGTATGGTTGTTGTTGTTGTTGTTTCGCGTTTGATTGTTTCGACCGTGAGTTTTGCGTCTGCGACCACGGTGCGCCAGCAGACGACGTGGTTCCCCAGCAATTTTTAGGTCAGCTTTTCCAGGCCCCCCCGAAGGAAGCAGTGCCCTGACCCCTGAATAGGGGCTGCTTGATGTGCCGGCGCGGCCGAACTCCACTGTGGGCCACGAGTTTTTTTGGCAGTGGAAGAACGAATCGAATTTGCCAATGGCTTACGGCATTGCCGCAAGCCTGCGGTCTCCTACGGTGCACCAGATGGGCGCGTGTCGACGGTGTCAATTCGGAGATCCATCCCACCGGCAGATCAACGGCGTACCAGGCGGAGCCTCGTCTCGACGATGCCGATGCGACGTTCCACCACCAACCGGCTGACCAGCGGTGTGCCAGACAGGGCCTCGTCACGACGGCGCCGACGCGATGTTCCATCCGACCAACCGTCCACGGAGTCCGCAGTCACCTGTGCACGCGGCACAACGCGCACAGGGAGTAACCGCCCTCACCTGGTTTAGCCCGCCGGTCGAGACGGTTGCCCGGGGTGTGGCCGCTGAGCAGAGCCCAGCTACGTGGAGCCACAGGTGAGAGTTGAGTGCCAGCAAGTGGACGCTAGGCGTAGTCTCACCTGCAAGCAAGTGAGCGACCACTACGACCTTCACGTGAACCCACCGCTGACACCCCTACACCCCTTGCTTTAGAATAAGACCCTTTAGAATTACACAAGTGGACGAATAACACAGTGAACGCAAATATTAGCATAATGTGCTGTCTGCATGGATACAAGTTAAAATACTGAGTGCCTGTCTCCTCGGTTTCTGCGCCACCGAATGACGTGCCTGCAAGAGGTCTAATACTCCAGTGAGTAAACCAGACCTGTCAAACATTTTGAATCATTAGAAAGACAATAATTAGGAAAGACAGGAAGGCTGGAAGGTCTCTAAGTGTACTCAGGTCAGGATGTACCAACTTCGGTTAACAGTTCGTCTAATACTTATGGTCTGCCAACGGACAGTTAATATTATATCAACATACAGCGATGCTAATCAAGTAATTAATTGGACTTGCTCCGTAATCGTCTCACGGATTCTAGACTGATAGTTTGTGAAACCTGTTTGGGTAGTCAACCTACTTTGTCAACGTTGATCGCCACCTTAGGTTTCAGTAGGTTTGGCAGGTAAGTCAGCACAAATGTGAAAACCTTAAGGCTTTCAATCGTTGCCTCACATAGTTTAGATGGTTAAAGTTAGGTGTGTACTCAAACTGTGTTAGCAGTGTCGTGCCCTCGCATTCCACTGAGGCCGTCAAACAGTTTTCAATCGGATGTTCTGTTTAAAAGCCCGTAGGCTGCTCTGAATAGTGAATGAGAAGCGTTTCTACCTCTGTGGCGTAACTGTATAGCAATCATAATTGTCAACCGATTGAAAATAGTGTATAAATACAGGTTAACGTTTATTCACAATATTCTACCCACAGGCAGTATCTATGTGCTGAGGCACGAATTTTGCACTTATTTACATGGGATGGCCAAAGATCCACATACGCCCGTGATTAGGTTTCCTATACGAAATAACTACAGGACTTCAGTGATAATGGTTTAAATATCATTCATAAAATGATGTGGATGTTAGAAGTAAAACTCTGCTAACGTGACATTTCAGGTTCCTTTTAACTAAGGACCAAGTCGAAATACACCAAAGTTACACTCACATTCCATCAACAGGCAATAAGAAGTATACATAACATGCACCGAGATTGGTACGCAGGTTTCCAAACACGATTGATACCTAAAATCCTGGGCACGTTTCGCCAATATAATGCTATGAGATTGCACACCTGAAAGTGGGTTGGTTGAATGTATCGGTTCAGCAGAGTTCTCCTTTGGCTTCGCGTACATAAGCACTCCAGTGGTGTGGTGTAACAGATTCAAATATCGTCAGAAATAAATGTGCGAACTCACCACACATTCATTTTACGGCGAGTTCTTTTGAGGCTTTGCCAGGATGCTGCTCTGAATGTCTGAATGGAGGTGCATATGCCGTAGCAGAATTACCTTGCAGTGATCACAATCTTCCAACAGGCAGAGCGACACTTTTGAATGTACTTTTAAATTAAATCATTCATTTTGATCCAGCTGTGAAAAACAGGGCGCCAACTGTCGAGCCACTTCCAACTGCTTCCTGTAGAGCAACGAACCCTGTGCAATATAAGTCCAAGTTTCCACCTAGCACCCGTGTTCCAGTACTGAAACAGATACTGAAACAAGTATCTACGTCGGGAGTACGGTATAATACCTTTACTATATGGATTTCATACTACTCGTAGTATTACTTGTTTGTAGAATGGGCATTACGTGGTTATTCCACAGTAGTTGATTGTCTTCGACTCAAATGTTCATTGAAATTTCGGTTCTGACCCTAAAAAGTCATGTCCCGGAGATTTAACTCCATGTCCTGCACTGATTAATTTCTGAAATTATTCGCTTGATTATTCGCTGGAGTTTATATACCAGAAACCGCTAGAGAACGCTGGGGGTCCCACTGAAGAGCCGAACTCCTCGCAGCTGTGTCACGCAGCGGCAGAATATCGGCAAAACACGTGTCTGGGCTTTTAGCAAGTATCTACGTCGGGAGTACGGTATAATACCTTTAATATATATATATATATAAATATCAGAGGGGAGACGACAGAGACTCTGTCGTCTCCCCTCTGCTATCATAGCTTGGCCGACCTCGGCCTGGTAGGTGGCTGCTGTTCGTGACTGCTATCGCCCGTACGAAGCCTGTTTGCTTCCGGGGGGCCAGTGGATCGGTGTGCGCCCATTCCTGAGTGAATTGGCAACAGGCACCAGGCAACGTGCTCGTGGCCCAGTGGTTAGAGGCGTGGACTTCTAGTTAATAGGTCACAAGTTCGAATCTCGGATGTTCCACACTTCGGGGTTGGGTATGACTGGCTGACGACGGATAATAAGCCAGAAATGGCCATTCCAATCTTCCTTGTCTTTGTCGGTAATACCATAAAGCTATATATATATAACGGATGTAGTATGCATTCCGAGACGATATAATAAAAGGAGAAGGCTCGTCGGACGAACCTTCTCCTTTTATCATATATATATATATATATGTTGCGGTAGTGGAACACGGGTGCTATGTGGAAACTTGGACTTATATTGCACAGGTTTCGTTACTCTACACGAGACAGTCGGTAGTGGCTCAACTAACCAGGACATCCTCTGACGTTCTCCATGTATCATATATTAAATACGTATTACAGTTTTTCGTGTCAAACTCTTCAATTCCCCGGAACAAGGCGTTTCAAGCTCGGCAGATATGCCGTCAGGACAGTATGTGGTGAACTCCATGAGCTGCAGTGGACTAACCTTGAAATATTCAGAGGCTGTCAACAGGCAGTCAAGGGTCAGCGCGGATACTAGTCAAAGGCCCAGATAAGTGTTCCGCCAACGTTGTACGGCTACATGACAAAACGGAAACGGGGTTTGACTCACTATTTCGTCACCAAACATGCTCAACGGGTTCTGGAATAGAGGCAAAACAATACCTTAATGCTGAATATCTGTATTTTGTTGCAGATTAATGTGCAGACTTGGAGTCATTTCCGAAGGAGAAGCGTTTTCATGTTCTGTTAGAAAGGAGACAAGAAAATTTGAACTGAGTTGCCTCCTTTTAAGCCGCATAACAGCGCAAAATTCACAATCCGCATTCAAGCTGAGTTAATCCATTCTTGGCACAGGTGTCATCTAAAGCGCGGATACGTTTTTCACTGATATTTTCTCCGCAGTAGAATGCAATTTCAAAGAGGTCGGCCGCCTAAAGGACCCCTTCATGTTCTATGTGGCTTGTGATAAATGTGCGCTCTAGATTGTGAGTTCTAAGACGTTTAATTTTGCCTGGCCCCATTGCGCAAACATAAAGTGTAGTTCTGTGGAAAAGTTCTTTTAGTCAGATTTCTGTTGGTCTTGGTTTAAAGTCCGGAAAATATTCACGTAGCTATTTTCTGAGGCTGATTGGCTTCCGATTAAAATTCCCATCTCCATCTTTTTTCTGACGTAAAGTACATGTCCTCATGATCTCACTCCAAGTTTGTGCCAGAAACGTTCACACAAATAGAAAGCCTATTATGGAACCGCCTGTCACAGAAAAACTTGTCTAAGTCTATTATGGGGTCGGACACGAGAATACCCACTCTTTGGTAATTATTCCGGTGTCCCACTTTTAGCCAAAGCCTTAACCCTCAGATTTCCTAACAGTAATCATCATAAACCCAGCCCTAAACGTCCTACCCCTAACTCCCTATGAAATTTAAGTCAAGACCAGATGTAATATTTAAATCAGATTGTCTCATTTTCAGTGGAATAGTGGAGAAAATCTACAATCCTCATTGGGGCTGATTTATTCTACTCTCAGCACAGATACCGCCTAAAAGCGTAAACATAATGAGCCCATATCGGACATCTTTCCAAGTTTTGGTGCTCGGTTCTGCCACCCACATCAGATACCGGTAGACCGATTTGTCTTTTCTATAGCTGTTTCTAACCGCTGATTTGTCAGGTAGCTTTCAGCCTAACCTAAGACGAATTTCCTGCCCAATGTGGGTGGTATTAATCATGGTTAGGGACTTCGCAGTCGTTGAACGACCGTCTCCAATGTTTCGTCATTTGATCATTTCTAATATGCTCCCCTCATCTGACATTTCAATAGCTTTTAGTGCGCCGGATTGGAATATCTGTCAGAAATTAAGAGGGGCACGGTTGAGTGGTTCTCTCGCCTGGAGACCTCTTGAATCCCTTTTGTTGATCACCACCACCACCACCACCACCACCACCACCACCACCACCTTCCTTCCTTCCATCCGATATCAGCTTTGCTCTTCCTCTTATTTGTTCCCTCACTTACGCCCATCATGCTTCTGGTGTTTTTGTTAGATTCTCCTTTTCTTATCATTCCTCTCTTGCATTTCTTCCAAATGCACATTATTTTTTCGAAAACCTTTTTAGCTGAGATGACGCTCAAGAGAACTTCGATCCAAAAACAGTTGATCTGCACATTGGAGGTGCCATATACCCCAGTGTTCAAACGATACGTGGGCAACGAGCAGGATTATAAGGAGTGGGACCAACGCCAGTCTCCGTTTGCGTCCGAGTTTGCGGGCAGTGGTGGTGGTGCTTTCACGCGGGGAGACTCCGGGCACTGACTTAGTTTACAAACATGTGGACTATCAACTTTCAGGCAGTTGAAAACATCCATTTCAAGATATACTGAAACCACTATGAGTCCTGTAGGATTTCGATGCCGTTGTACTTTTAGCCCACAAATCCAGAAGGGAAGTCGGCGTGTGTGAGGTGAACTACGGAGTAGTAATTCTACAAGAGGGCCCATTAAAAACGACCGCCGTTTAGGATAATACGAAACGCC